AAGATAGCCACGCGCGCGCGATACAGTCAGCAAGAGATGAAGCCAATCAGAAAACAGTGTGTTTTTCTCCACAAAACGTTCGAAGACGTTCAATCGCAATGATGCGATCCCAAAGCGGTGGTCACGACGACCAACTGCGCGATTACCATCACAGTCCGCCGCAAAAACCCTCCCCGACGACACTCACGTCTGCTTACGAACGAAACGCCCGTCGCCACTCCACGAGCCGACTACGACCGTGCTCGAAACAACTGCTGAATAACGGTCCTAGTCCGAGTCCGATGTACATTCCGAGTACGACTATTAGGAACTAACGTGAGTGCGATGAACCTTAGTGCCCGTACATACGCTACGAATGCCACTGCGACATGGGGGGAGGCAAATCGATTATTCATTCATCATTGGGGATGCTTGCAGCAAAGGAAACCTGATTCGAGACGAAGATGAGGGAAAAGATATATGCTTAGCGCACTGCGTGTATTCTAATCCCGGCGTGCATAAAGCGACGGACTACTACGGATCCATATAATCACCATGCACGACCGCCTACTGTACACGCAGCCCTAACAGGAAGCATTACGTAATAACGGGCGCGGGATCGATAATCGATAATTAATCACCGTCCTACAGGCAGGCGCAACGAGGACGTACAGGGTTGCAACCCCGTTATTCGACGTGCATCAGCGTTACGAGTGCGCTGTCTGGGTAACAACGAACAGGCGTGAACCATTGCCACCAGCTACGGAAAGCGAAGAATCGATACAGAGCCAGCCGCACACAGAAAACAACGCGCGAGAGTCACGGACCCATCAAGCGCAGCCCAGTGCCGAGCCATCGGATTATCATAAGGGATATTCTATTGGAAGCGAAGATATAGCATAGCAGAGCAGCTGCTGTATTCGTGCGAGCAGTATGTGCAGTGGTAGAAATTAACTTTTGAACACGGGAGTCCAACGGACTCCCTACCCTCAAAACGAGGGTGTCCGCAGAAAAATGAGGGAGTCCGCAGTCTGAGGTTCAAAATTAAAGATATTAAAGGACCGGACACACTAGGCGATTTTAATGCGATCTAATCGGGCGACTTTATCGCTCGATAATATCGCCTGATTCGATCGCGCGAGTCGAGTGGACACACTACGCGATTTTATCGGGCGACTGAAATAATCGCCCGATGATATCAAAACGTTTTGATCTATATGCGATTAAATCGGGCGACTAAATCGGCGGCGACTGACTGGACACACTAGGCGATTTCACCGGCGATTTAGTCGCCCGATTTAGTCGCCCGATTTAATCACCTAGTGTGTCCAGCAAAATGAGAGAGTCCGCAGTCTGAGGTTCAAAATTTAAAAGCTATTAACAATAACGCATGTGCTTATTTTTAAGATTCATGCAGTTGCACGTCTGCCAAATTTTCTTGGGACATTAGCTAACAAATACGGTAATTCCGCGAAGCCGTGCTCCGGAACGAACTAGTCAGTATCTCAGAATTTCCAGGGAGTCACACGGACACTGCATATGTCAAATCAGGGAGTCCGACAGTAAATCAGGGAGTATTTGACTCCGGACTCCCGTTAATTTCGCACCCTGTATGTGTTATTCGTATTCCCATCTTGGAAGATGATTTATCACGTCACAACGATTGGTGTTCAGCGAACAACCAACTTGTTCAAACACATACCCGCCGCGTTGGCAACGAGAATTTAGCTAAACACACATTTCTGGAATATAACTATCGGAAAATAGAATGCACCGGCACATACCACAACCGCTCTGTGGAGAGAACCTGAAAGTGAAGTATTTGGCAAGACACCACTGAATCTCACGTGTATGACATGGTACACGCACGCGCGCATGGTACGCGCACGCGTGTATGACATGGTACACGCAAGCGCGCATGGTACGCGCACGCGTGTATGACATAGTACACGCACGCGCGCATGGTACGCGCACGCGTGTATGACATGGTACACGCACGCGCACATGGTACGCGCACGCGTGTATGACTCGGTGACTATACGCGCGGGCGTGTATGACACGGCAGCACAAACGCATGTACGACACGGTGAACATGCGCGCGCGCGTGTACGACACAGTAAACAGTTAACACGCACATGCAGGTGTGGCTCAGGCAACATGCGCGCGCGCGTGTATGATATGGTAAGCACGCGCGCGTGTATGATATGGTAAGCACGCGCGCGTGTATAACAGTTAACACTCGCGCGTGTATAACATGGTAAGCACGCGCGCGTGTATAACAGTTAACACTCGCGCGTGTATGACATGGTAAGCACGCGCGCGTGTATAACAGTTCACACGCGCGCGTGTATAACATGGTAAGCACGCGCGCGTGTATGACACTGTAAGCACGCGCGTGTATGACACGGTAAGCACGCGCGCGTGTATAACAGTTCACACGCGCGCGTGTATAACATGGTAAGCACGCGCGCGTGTATAACAGTTCACACGCGCGCGTGTATAACACGGTAAGCACGCACGCGTGTATAACACGGTAAGCACGCGCGCGTGTATAACACGGTAAGCACGCACGCGTGTATAACACGGTAAGCACGCGCGCGTGTATAACACGGTAAGCACGCACGCGTGTATATAACCTGGTAAGAAAGTATTCATGCGTTCAAGGTCAGACACAGTATACACGCGCGCGCGTAAGAATTAACACGCAAAACGCGACGGCACCACCGCCAGTATACGCAGCACAACTGCGCGCGCTGTACGTTAGGTAACTGCATCTGTTACCTACACACGTGATTAATCCCCCAAACAAAGCCAGCTATGTTATGAACGTGGCCAGCACTCACTCCGATCGACCCATTCTAACAATAGCAGAGACGTTCACCTACGAACACCCACCCACCATTCACCTTTGATTCCCGAATTACGTACAGCGATGGTTAATCTACCACAGCTAGGCTCGCTTCATGTATTACGTTCAAGCGGGGTACTGTGCGCCATAAATCAGAAGACCACTAAATAAATAATTCATACCACAGCCTACGGCTGGTAATTTCGCCAACAGGCAAAGTTAATGAAGGTATTCAGCTCTCAGCATCAATCCTTTTCAACGATGCTACCTGAGAGGGCTTTTCCCAGCACGACCATTCTTCTCACGAAAACATAATACAGGGTATTTTCGCTGGTTTACAACAACAGCCTAATACGCAGTACGGTAACTCATATCGAAATGTTTCTCCATCTGCAAGCGTCTTCTTGCGTACTCAGCTCCCAGCATCAATCCTTTTCAACGATGCTACCTGAGAAGGCTTTTCCCAGCACGCCCATTCTTCTCACGAAAACATAATACAGGGTATTTTTGCTGGTTTACAACAACAGCCCAATACGCAGTACGGTAACTCATATCGAAATGTTTCTCTATCTGCAAGCGTCTTCTTGCGTACTCAGATGCCATTAGATGTTCAAGGGAACGAACATAGCATAGCTTCCTGCACATATAATTTCGCTGCAACATTCTTATTCCATTCCATTCTATATTCTATGACATTTAACGATGTTAACACTGACAAACATTTGTCATTATTTACCCCTATAATATCACGAGCTAATAATAACAAGATATATATATATATATATATATATATATAATATAATATAATATAATATAGCGAGCGAGCGAGCGAGAGAAAGAGAGAGAGAGAGAGAGAGAGAGAGAGAGA